GTGGATAGCGGCCGCGCTGAGAGACCACGTCCTGCGCACCCCCTATGGTGTCCAGAAAATGCCACGCCTGCTAGGTTTTGCGACAGTGTCGTGGATAGCGGCCGCGCTGAGAGACCACGTCCTGCGCACCCCCTATGGTGTCCAGAAAGTGCCACGCCTGCTAGGCTTTGCGACAATGTCGAGGATAGCGGCCGCGCTGAGAGACCACCCCCTGCGCACCCCCCTGCGAACCATGTGGGCGGCCACCGTGCTCAGGGACCACCTTTTTCGCACCCCCTACGGTGTCGAGAGAGTGCTATCCTGCCATGCCCTGGACAACCGGCTCGGATAGCGGCCGCGCTCAGGGACCACCCCCTGCGCACCTCCTACGGTGTCGGAAAAGTGCCACTCCTGCCTTGCCCTGGACGACCGGCTCGGATAGCGGCCGCGCTCAGGGACCACCCCCTGCGCACCCCCCACGGTGTCGAGAAAGTGCCACTCCTGCCTTGCCTTGGACGACCGGCTCGGATAGCGGCCGCGCTCAGGGACCACCTCCTGCGCAGCCCCTATGGTGTCGAGAAAGTGCCACTCCTGCTATGCCCTGGACAACCGGCTCGGATAGCGGCCGCGCTCAGGGACCACACCTTGCGCACTTCCTATGGTGTCGGAAAAGTGACACTCTTTCTATGTCCTGGACGACGGGTTCGGACAGCGGCCGCGCTCAAGGACCACCCCGTGCGCACCCCATACGGTATCGGGAATGTGCCACTCCTGCTATGCCCTGGACGACCGGCTCGGATAGCGGCCTCGCTCAGGGACCACCCCCTGCGCAGCCCCTATGGTGTCGACAAAGTGCCACTCCTGCCATGCCCTGGACGACCGGCTCGGATAGCGGCCGCGCTCAGGGACCACCTCCTGCGCACCCCCCATGGTGTCGAACACCGCGCTCAGGGACCACCACCAACGCATTTCCTCTGGTGTCGAGAAAGTGCCATGCCTGCCCGGCCCTGCGCATCCTACACGTGCGTGTTGTGTATGGCGTGTCATGTGCGCTGTGCTCTGCTGAGCTGAGCTGAGCTGTGCTGTGCCGAGCTGAGCTGAGCTGTGCTGAGCAGCGCTGTGTTATGCTGCGCTGCGCTGTGTTGTGAAGTGTGCTACGCGTGTCTCATGTACGTGCCGTGCAGGTGTTGCGCGTGGGTGAAGGAGTGTATGTGTGTATGTGTCTGTGTCGGTGTGCCTGTGTATTTGTATGTATGCATATCACGTCTGCCACGCTTTGCGGGAGAGGGAGGTGTGTGCGGGAGACGCGTGTGCGACGCGGCAGGGAAGAAAACCAGAACCCCACGAAACATGTGTGGGGAATATTTTTTTTGAACCAAGAATGGCACAATGTTTGAACTGATTCCTGAATAACTTATAGGCTGTCCAGCCAACTAGAGAAGTAGATCGGCCGTCCACAGTAAACACTCTCATCGCAGAGTTCATATTGTCCACGCGTCCCACGCGTGGATCTGCGTATTTCTACGAAGGCCAGTTTTGCAAGGAAGTTTCGCTGATAACGCAATGTAAATTGGCGTGGTGATCTGCAATCTTGACATTTGCCTTTTCTGTTCGTCGCGGCGGCAATCAATCCGCTGCCTACGGTGTGAACCAGATAACTGATGGCATGTGACGCATGATGAACAATATTTTCAAGTGGTAGTCGAATTGCTAACTGCTCCCATCCTTCTTCGTGGTTTAAACGAAAAACAGTATCATTGAAATTGCTGTCGATTGCATCACCTCCAGCAATTATCAACATGTATTGATTCATATCCCTCCGCGGTTCAACACAGCTGTCCGGTTGAGAACCCGGAATTATAATAGTCTGCATAATGTCGCGGCTGACTTTGGGGCATGCTTGTTGTCACTGCGGTGCGTAGACTCCCTCCCCTGCCTCCTGCAATCACTCTCTCCCGTCTCCCACCTATCTCATCCATCCCTTCCCCTTCCTTCGTTCGCTTCTCCCGCATACCTCGTTCTCTGCTCCGTCGCCCTCGTCTTTCTCAGACCGCCCATGTCCAGGTCTACGTCCTCTTTGTTGCCTTAGCAGCGTGTCTGTAAGGGTCCGGGGTACAGATTCCAAGCCCAGGTGTGTGCGGCCCCGATTTGGAACCGGTGGCCCGTGGATTCCCGCGTGGCATCCCGTTTAGTTTTTCGGATGGCATCCCCCTTTTTTATGGTTTACGTCCTAGCACTCGAATAGCACACTCTATAGATCTATGTATGTGTATATACATACATAAATATAATAGTTTTCTCTATTGAGTGACCGCGCTAATATTCTACAGAGCTGTTTAAGGGGTATCAGGTCGCCAGGGGTGCAAACCCTTCCCAGTCCCGCACCCCACCCAACAGTCCTCTGCCCTCTCCAGCATCCCCCTTGTTTCCACCCCTGCAGCCGAAAAGGGCGCAGAATCAAAAAGCGGCGCCCAGACACCTGAGCGAGACCACCGTCTTAACGAAACAGAGAAACATGGAGGAGCAGATTTCTTGCGATCTCTAGTCGCTGCGCCGTGTGCGGCGGGCGCTATCCATCCCCATCCTGTCTCCCTTCCCCTCCCACGATCATGCTGTTCTGGCCATCCTCCTGTCATTGTCCTTGTCCGATTCTCATGTCCTCTCCTCGACGTCCTCTGATCGTCTGCCCTCGCCCATCGAGTGTTGCCGCCGCTGCTCCTCCTCCTCCTCCTCCTCCTCCTCCTCTTCCTCCTCCTCCCTCCTTCTCCTCCTCTTCCTCCTCCTCCCTCCTTCTCCTCCTCCTCCGTCCTCCTTTTCCTCGTCCTCCTCCTCCACCTCCTCCTCTTCCTTCTCCTCCTTCTCCTCCTCCTCGCTTCACAGATGGAGGGCGGGTCGGTTTCAAAATGTGGCTCTTGCGTTAGCGCCGTGCACGTTCGCTTCAAAACGTTGAAGGAGTTTTGCGGATTTCAAACGGGTCGTTTTCAAAATGTGGTCCTCGCCTTAGCGCCGCGCAAAACCGTTGTCAAAACTAGACTTCTCGGTTTGAGGGCGAGACGTCTCAAAATAGTGGTTCTCGATGCTTAGCACCGCGCACATCCGTTTTCAATATTTGCCAGAGCTCCACGTATTGAGGGCGGGTGGTTGTGTGGTTCTCGTTTTAGCGCCGTGCACATTCGCTTTAAAAGGTTGCCATGGTTTTGCTAAGTGAGGACGGCTCGTTTCCAAAATGTGGTTCTCGCCTCAGCGCCGCGCACATTCTTCAAAACTTGCAAGAGCTTCACGGATTGATGGTTGTTCGTTTTCAATATGTGGTTCTCGTTTTTTGGTGCCGCGAACAGTCGCTTCTGAATTTGCGAGAAATTCACGGGCTGAGGACGGCTCGTTTCAAAAATGTGGTTCTCGCCGTAGCGTTGCGCACATGTGTTTTAAAGATTTGCACAAGTGTCGTTGGTTCTCATGGTGAACGTACCAGCATTTGCGTCTTGGAACGGTTCACGACTGTCAGGGCGCAGCAATTATGTTGATTTGCTGTGCTGAAGTCCCAGACCTGGTGTTCGGGTACGACTCAGGACCGTCAAGTCGTAACAATCAGGTTAATTCGTGGCGTTGAAATGTTGAGAACGGTGTTTTGGCACGCATCAAGATGTTCATAAAGTTGTCCCCCAAAAGGGTAATTCCCCCAGTGGAAACGGCCCCTTGTTGGGACCTACGAAGAGGGATCTCGAAGGGATGGTGTATTCCAACATAGTTGATGAGTTGGTGAGTCTTGGGTTTACAGTGGTCCTCCTCCTCATCATCATCCTCCTCCTCCCCGTCCTCCTCCTTCTCCTTCTCCGAAAGAGCGTGTTCTACCGCTGCTGGCGGAAAACCGGGGGGGGTCACTACCAGCTCGAACCCCTCCTCCCCCCCCTTCGGAAAACTGGGGGGGGGTCACTACCGGTTCGAACCCCTCCCCCCCCCCCAGTCCATCATGAAAAGGGGGGGGGGTCACTACGGGTTCGAACCCCCCCCCCCCCTTCGAAAACCGGGGGGGGGGGCGGACAGTGGTGGGGACGGTGGTGGTGGGGACAGTGGTGAGGGGACAGCGGGACAGTGGTGGGGACAGTGGGACAGTGGTGGGGACGGTAGTGGTGGGGACAGGTGGTGAGGACAATGGTGGGAACAGTGGGGACCGTGGGACAGTGGTGGGGACGGTGGTGGTGGGGACAGTGGTGTGGGAACAGTGGGAATGCGGTGGAAACAGTAGGACAGTGGAGGGTACAGCGGTGGTGGGGACAGTGGTGAAGGCGGTGGCGAGGACGGCGGTGGGACAATGCGACAGAGGTACAGTGGGGACAGTGGTGGGGACAGTGGGGACAGTGGTGGGAACAGTGGGACACTTCAGTGGGACAGCGGAGGAGTCAGTGGGACAGTGGGGACAGTGGGGATAGTCAGGCAGTGGTTGGGGCCGTGGAGAAAGTGGGGAGAGTGGAACCGTGGTGGGAACCGTGGAGGGGACAGTGGGGACAGTGCGACAGTGGTGGTGGCACTGGTGGGGACAGTAGGGGCGGTGGTGGAACCAGTGGGGACAGTGGTGGTGAGGACAGTGGTGCTGGGAACAACAGTGGGGGATGTGGTGAGGACGGTGGTAGGGACCGGGAGTCGTTTGCTGGCGGCGAGAGGGGGTGTGGGGAGGGGCTTCGAACCGGTAGTGACCCCACCCTCCGGTTTTCGAGAGGGGGGGGGTTCGAAGCGGTTAGTGACCCCCCCCGGCTTTCGAGGGAAGGGGGGGGGTTAGGAGGGGGGGGTTTTGCCGGGGCGGGGGGGGGGGGGGAGGCGGATTTTCGAGCGGGGGGGGGGGGGAACCCCCAGGTTCCGGAGGAAGAGGGGGGGGGGGGGGGGGGGGAATTTTCCACAGTAAAGCGGCGGTGGATCACTCCCTCCCTCATCCCCATCCCCTTTTCTATTTGTTATCATCCTGTTCCTGCCCTTTCCGCCACAGGCTCTGATTCCCCACTGATCATTATCCCACTCCCTTTTCCACCGCATCCTTTTCCGCCCCTCCTTCTCCTAGTCAGGGGGGGGGGGGGGGGGGGGGGAATTTCCACAGTAAAGCGGCGGTGGATCAAGCTCTCTCCCTCATCCCCATCCCCTTTCTATTTGTTATCATCCTGTTCCTGCCCTTTTTCGCCACAGGCTCTGATTCCCCACTGATCATTATCCCACCCCCTTTCCACCGCATCCTTTTCCGCCCCTCCTTTTCCTAGTCTTCTTTTTCGCCCATGTTCCTCCTCCTCCCGCGCCCCCGCCCGCAAGCCCAGGCCGGCAGGCCCTCTTTGGCTCCTGCCCCAGGCGCCCCCCCCCCTCCGCCCACAGCCCGCCCTGGCCGTTGCTTCCTTGCCTTTTGCGCCCTGACCAGCCGACGAACCCTGCCGCTGGAACCGCCCCCAGCGTGGCGCCTCACACCTCGCACTTGCAGGCTTCCGCGGCGGAGGCCATGACGACGGACTTGGTCGCCTTCGCCTGGAACGCCGTGTCTCCCCCGCTGGCCGATGGCCGCCCCGCGCCCAGACGACAGCTGAGCGCCACGCCCAGGGCGGACAGGGCGCGGGCACGGGGTGCGCAGCGGCCGCCGCGATGCCGCGCCGTGCCTTCGCGGCGCCTGCCGCGCGTGCCGACCGCCGGAGCGCGCCTCCGCGGCGGAGCGCCAGCAGCAGAGGGCGCCCGCGGTGAGGCCGCCAGCGCAACGCGGGGTCTCGCTGCGCACGGCGGCGGCGGCGGCGGCCGCGGGCCCCCGCCCAGGGCTGGAGGGCGAAAGGCCCCGGCCGCGCCCCCGGCGACACGTTCGGAGCGCTGGCGAGCCCTCGAGTCGTCGCGTCCACTGTCCCTCCGCCGCCCCCGAGGTGCTTCGCGAAGTGCACAAGTGCCTCGGGGGTGTCCGCTGGGCCCTTGAGGCCAGGAGAGCACGGGCGAGGGAGGCGTTGTCAGCGGCGAGAGCACGTGACATGCCACAGTTGGACGGCTCCGCTTCTGAAGGCGGTCCTCTTTCGCAAGCCGCCGCTGCTCGGGCCGGTCCGAGGGCCGCCTGAGGTTGCAGCGCCACGGAACAAGAGCACCGACGGGGGCGCGGACCAGGCTGTGCCAGCCGTCATAGGGTGCCGACGGCTGTGCCGCAGCACCCGCAGAAAAGGCAGCGCTACGCGCCGCCGGTCTGCCACGGTTGCTGCCAGCCTTGCCGACCGAGCCGCGGCTGGGTGAGTGGGCCGATAAGCAAGGGTCAGGAGGAGGAGGGGGAAGCGAGGGGCTACCCTGGGGCCCCCAGAACCGCCCCTCGGCCCGCTGATCAAAACCCCGCGTTTGTGATCAGTGGGGCTCGCGGGCGTTCCTGGGGCTCCCCGGGCCGCCCCCACGGCCTCGGCAGCCCCCGGGCGTGGGCCTGGGGACCCGGGGGGGGTCGGCCGTGCTGGAGTTCTTCGCGAGCGGATTGAACGACCCAGGGGCCCTGGAAGCCTCCAGCGGACACCAGGGGGCGGCCAGAAAAGAGGTAGCATAACGTTGGTTATGTTAATCCTGCAGCCAGCCGCCTCCGGGTGCCGTCGGGGGCGTCCCGCGCGGGCTCGGGGGAGTCTGGGGTTGCCGCCGTCGTTGGCCCAGCCCGATGCTGCCACCCATGCCATCCTGCTCTGGCGAGAGTGCCTGCCGCGCAGCCACCCGCCCCAAGCGGGGGTGCCGGAGGCGACCCCCCGAGCGGCACTCGTCCAGCCTGACGCTTGGGGGCCGCCGGGAGACCCCTTCCCCAGGGGGCTGGCGAGCAGGGCCCCCCCGCAGCAGCGTCGGGTTCCACCAGCCACGCCCCCTGGCCGTGGGGAGGGGCCGCCGCGGGCTGGGCGTTTGGAGGCCCACCTGCGGGAGATATAAGTGCCCGCGCCTCGCGGCCCGGCCGGGCGCGCCGCCCGACCGCGGGCGCGCGTCAAGCGGTCGGAAGGAAGGAAGGAAGGAAGGAAGGAAGGAAGGAAGGAAGGAAGGAAGGAAGGCGAAGGAGGAGGAGGAGGAGGAGAAGGAGGAGGAGGGAGGAGGAGAGGAGGAGGAGGAGGAGGAGGAGGAGGAGGAGGAGGAGGAGGAGGAGAGGAGGAGGAGGTGGAAGAGGAAGAGGAGGAGGAGGGGCAGCGGACGCCGTGCGTGGTCGCCCGGCTTGCCGATCCAGAGCTGTCCGGATGGCTGGGGGCGCACCCCTTGCCGACTGGTTTTGGGAGGGACGCCCGCCCATCGTTCGGCGTTTCCCTCCGCTCTCCGTCGTCCTCGTTGTCCGTGGTCACCGCTGTCCTCGTCTCGTGGTCGTTGCCGTTTTGCGTTGTCCGTGCGCCTCGGCGGTGCTCGCTTCGCTGCCGGGCTTCTGTGTTTGCCTCCATCCTCCTCCTCCTCCTCCATCCTCCTCCTCCTCCTCCATCCTCCTCCTCCTCCTTTTCCTCCTCCTCCTCCTCCTCCTCCTCCTTCTCCTCCTCCTCCTCCTCCTGATCTCCCGTAGCCGTTTGGCAGAAGAGA